GTACAATACAGTAATAACCAGATAGGTAAACACAATAATGAGAAATAAAAGAGAACAATCGCATCGAAATCACATACAACAACAATAATTCATTAATAAGTAATAAAATGGCAAGATATGTCCAGCCTCCAGGCACCTCCAGACTCCAGATTTAAAAATTATACCTGCTCTAGAGATGAAGGGATAGGCGGCACGTGTGCGAAGTGGCGAAAGGTCGAGCAAGGGTGGCAAGGGGGAAGGGATGGTCGAGCGAGGGGGAAGGGACGGTCGAGCGGTAGTTGTATTTGGTTCGAGTGGTTCGAGACACGTCGAGACTTCCAAAGAAGATTTGGCATACACGCATTTTGTGAGTCGGGACTGGTCGGGGACTCGGTAGTGTTCGGTAGATACGCGACGATTTTCATGAATGAATTTCGAAGGGCTCCAAATAGCGGGAACGAAACTGGATTTGTGGCTCCATTCCGAGCGCGGCCAGTTTTAACACGGGCGTTGCCTATCTAGGGGAGTGTATAATCTCTGTATAGGGTATACCCAGCAGTATACCCAGAGGTGTTATAATTATTATTCAAACTTGAAAAATAACAATGACATAGTTCTTTCTTGGCAACTACAATGAAGTGAATAGGAATTGATCTGGACTGCTTCACAATGATTCAGTTTTGATGAGAACGATATAATATTATTATAACAAGAATCCAATCTTGAAATAAAGGGAATGTGTAAATTTCAACAATCCACAATTGATTAATTAAACCTCTTAGCTCTCGAGCTATAGGGTGTTGGAATTTTCAAGCAAAAATTATTTCATTATAAGAACTTCAATATACTGTCTACAACAAGTTTCAGGGCATATGTTCACATGAACTCTTTTCTCAAAATGAAGTATAAGGAACCATATCCCTTATCATAAACCATCAATTGAATCACACCCTGTATAACCAGGAGAAAACGATCGATAAAATTCTAATAAAATAATAAAGATATACTGAACTATATAATTTCAGGTATCTTCAGGTAACCCATTCATTTTCAAAATTATGATGAGTTGAATGAATCTCTCAAAAATCTTGGGTGAATCCGAGGGTAAATCTGGCATAGCGCACTTCCGAATACGGGAAGTAAATTGAATTCCCTTATTTCTGATAGAACACCACATTTTACAGATATGTTTGAAGTAGTTCTCAATAATAATTTGTCATTACCCAGTTCTGCCATAGTATACTACATTTTCTGATGAAGTAGGTATTTAAAAATAATAAATCGTTTTTTGGGGCACCTTGTGTTTTAAGATAATGAAAATAGGTACCGGTATGTTTTAAATGATCCTGCTGCAAAATCCATCGATATTTTTAGTGAAAAACTGTCTCATAGTACTTTTTGAAATTTGGGTCAATGAAATTGGTCACCGTTGGCCATGAAAACAGTTCAAGAATGAAATCATTTTTTGGTTGGATGCGGGCATTTCGATTACCTATCCAACAAATACATTGTTCTCAGATTCTATCATATTATTATAGTAACAGGGGTGGTAAGCTCTTGCAGTGGACACACTGTATATAAAAATTAGAATTGAAAGAATCTCTATCTGGCAATGAAAAATGTATCACGGTTTATATCATAGAATAATGAAAATGAGTCGAGATTATGAAAAAATGTGTGATGGTCCATTATGAATATGGAAGTATTACTTACTCCAGGCTACGCTGCGGTCGAATACTGTCAGTATTTAGTATAGGAAGTTAGGAATACATTAGTGTATACAATAACTTTTCTCAATCGATTTGGCATAGATTGAATCACAAAACCACAAATCTCTATGAATTAGAGTTGAGGTTTCGAAGGGATTGGTCTACAAGTGTTTGTTAATTTCCAGGAAGTATCAAGCGACAGACCGACATGTATTATTTTTTCACGAATTCAAGTATTTATGGCGAATTTCCACCAAACAGACACATCGAGTCACTGTTTTGTTTCCGAAAATGGAAACTTCAACAAAACCGACAAAGCAGCAACATACCAGAAACGTTGTTGCAACTGAACGGACACAAACAGATTTCTAGTTCCATATAAGTTTTCACTCATTTCCACTGGGCAGATTTTTTCATCACATCTTGGGGTGGAGGGTTTATTATGAATTCTCTGAAAAAGAACATGGCCGGCTTCCGATTTTTAAATTTTTTTATAGTTTCGTCATTCGCGTTGGTACTGAGACAATATGATGTTTTCGGGTGTAGTTGTGTTGAAAGAGGAACCAATTTCCTTGTACCATAGATTAGAGTCGTTAATCTATGCTTGTACGCATCCATTTTTTCATTTCGGTTCTCGTAGCCCATGTTTTTGCTGGGGTTCCATAAATTAGCATGTTCGAGGTAAGCTTCAATCAAAATGCCGACCTCCACTTTTTATTTTTTTCAGTCATATTCTGAAAGAGATTAGTAGAATAAATAAATAGATAGACTAACCATAAACACACAATGTGCACAAACTGCAAACTGCAAAAAACAAGATACGTGTCGAGACCTATTTTCTCCCAGCCGACTGTGTCCGTAGTCGTACAAAAACCCTTTTTCCCTTTCAAGTTACCGCCTTCGACTGGGACTCCGAAAACAACAAAAACTGTCGCCGGCGACTCCTATTTTCAAAATGTTTCCAAAATGTCTCTGAAAAGTAGTAATTTTGTTGATATCGACAAGAAATTCTCTCTTGTTGCTGTTTTGTCTGTTTGGTGTAGATCCAATATTATAGACAAATAGATCTCGGAAACTAAAAATTGATATCAAATAGAGATGAAGAGTTGTAGTATTTAAACATACACTGTTCATATAGAACGAATTGAATATTGTTTTATTATAATTTCAATGGTATATACATGCATACGATATTTCATAAATATAATATAGGTTCGTACGTTCCAAGAGATGAAAAAATTACGTTTCGTTACGAATTTTGATTTTAATTCTACGACAGCATCCTACTCACGTTTGATATTTTGATTATCATTTATTGAAATGAATATAATCATGAGCACATTCTCCTCGGACAACATTCCTAATGAGATTTGCTGATTTTTGCTAGAATTTACAAACCTAATTACAGTGTGTGCATAGTGACAAATGAAAATGGCTATATTTATGAGGGATAATCGACTATAGGACATTCTGCATCACAAACATCTTATAGGTTATTCGAATTTGGTATTTTCATAATACTATATACTATTCCAAATGTTTCCTCACTTGAACTGGTACAAAAATAGTCGAAATATCAATTATTAATTATTATTTATGATCCCGAAACTATCAACTTCTGTGATATAAAAATATATATCATACTTTTTCTACATTCAACGTGAAATCCAAGAATGCAATAATATTTCAGGTGCCCCTATAGAAAAAAATGAACTCATTTGTCGCAGCGCTCTTTTGATACACTCCATATGAATAAATCTTAAACCATTGAATAGATTGAATTGATCCCCACAGTTAATGCATTCAACAGTTTTTGTGATACGTAAAATAAAGAAGTTACAAGGAGGGCGACCCCTATATACTATATACATATTACTTTTAATACATTTAATAAATCTGTGATATCTAGATTGAGTAAATTTGTGATATATTTCCCCGTTTTTTCCATCAAGAATAAATTCAATACAAGCAGTGAAGCTCCTATAAAAAATGACATTATGAAAATTATTGCGAATGACTAAGTGACAATGACAAACTATCAATAAACGCCTTGAATGAAGGTAGCAGACAAATTGTTCATACAGATTGTCCAGAAATTACACTCAATACTATAGTGATTTTAAAAATGGAAAAAATAATCTAGTAATTGATCTAGAACTTTCACTCCAATCAGAAAAGAATATTAATAAGCCGGGTGATTGATTAGTGTGATAAAGTGCAGTATCTCCAATGTCGTTTGAGATATCAAATTGTCAATTTGAGAGATTTTAGCAATGGATAGTCTGGATGTCTTGAATCATTCACAGTATTACAGGGTGACAGGACACTGTTCTGAATCAAAGTAATATTTTTGTGAATATAGGAGGACAAACTAATCAATCACCCTGTCTATCGAAGCCTTAGTATTATACTTAAAAATTAGAATTTCCGGAAGTAGATATTCGCGTTTCAAGATAATAGGGTGTATACTGTTTTCTTATCGCGCATGCTGATGAGAATTAGTCCTTATTTCATTAATAGAAATACCATCGAATCCAGAGATACTCTAGCGATGTGAATATTTACCCGAAATCTTGGAAAATATTCAGAGATACACCAGACTATCTCGTACCACAAACCACAATAAGAAATCAGTTATTGAAACAGCGGGCGGTTGGAATAGATATTAGTCCGGGCGCATAAACCGAAATTTTAAAAGGATTTTCACACGAGTCGTTGCCAATTTAATGGACTCCACTACATATTGATACCCTATATCTCGAAAAGCGAGTTAGGACACATGTTTATATGAACTTTATTTCCTCACATATCACAAGGAATCACCCCTTGAATTTTTTCGATGTTATTTAAATACACCCTGTATATAGAAGGAAGAGAAATCGTTGTTGACACGTTAGAGATGTATGTATGTGTATGTATGTATGTGTGGGCGCTCCGGGACCTGACGCACTTAGGCCTCCCTTTTCGGGCCCATTGTCACAGTTTAAGGAATGGGTATTACTTAAACTGTGCCATTGTGCACTCACCCATATCAATTTATCATACATCCAAAAACTGTTGATTTTTACTTCATAGATCTGATTTGAAATTTCAACTGTTGGCAACACTGGTCAGTTGTATCGCACGTATTCAAAACGCCCCGATGACAGGAGTAGTGAATACATTTTTTTTGGATATTATTATTTATTTTCACACAATTTCTGAAACAGCATGGCACTGCTTCACTGGAACATAATGACCTTGAATTGATTTGATTCGTTTTTTGAAGTTGTGACGTACGCGCAAAGAAATATACAGACTATATCTTCTCACCTGTGCTTCCTTGTAACTATCGTGCTCGTTCCTAGGATCGAAATGCGTGAAATACGGATCAGGAGTGGTCGTAGTAGTAGGCTGGGCGGTCGTCGTGGTCCTCCCATTCTTGGCATTCGCCGACACCGTCACCTTGTAGCTCGAGGTACTCGATTGCGTGTCCCAGTCGATGTCTTCGTCGTACATGTCGTCGTCGTCCTCCTCCTCCTCCTCTTCGCTGGCGTTCTCGTCGTCAGACAGCTCGGTGTCGTCATTGAGGTCGGCCAGGTCGTCTTTGTCGTCGCCTTCGTCGTCGTCGTCGTCGATGTTGTCGAACGGGTCGTCTTCTGTCTTCGAGATTGAGAGGTCTACGGGTTTCTTTGGCTTCGAAGTTTCTGTAAGAGGAAGAGTGATACATTTTATTTTGTTGAAATCAGTTGAAGACGGCAAAAACACTGGAAGTCAATTTTCACGGTATAATGAGATATATTAGTACAGAAGAATGCTAGTAAAAATCAGAATCGAATGCCCTGGGCTGCTTGACAAAATAGCGCTGATAGTCTGCTGAAAGTTATGCACGTAACAAATTCTCTCGTCTACCACAAAAATGCTGAAAATCAATGCGAGACACATCAAACACGTTGTAAGTAATGCTGCGCGGTATTATTTGAACAGTCGCAGTATAGGTATGCAACATGCAACGCATATACACGTTAATCTCATCATAGTGTGTTTCTGAATTCAATGAAGGAGAAAAAACCAAATGGAAGAAATCGTGGAAGTAGTGATAAAAGTACATTCGTCTTCAGCGAACATGTCGCGGTTGGACGGTATATGAGCGGTCTTATTGTAGCGGTGATCAAGGGAGCTGACACCGTCCATGTGCGACATGATCTCTGAAGACGAGTGTATGGTACAGAAATGAAACGTTATGGTCCAGAAAGAAGAATGAGTAGTGAAAGGGTATGTTTGTTATGATACATTTGAAGTAGAGTTCACCCAAATTAGGGCCATGAAGTAAATGCGCCAGGTACAAATTATTTCGAAATAATGGTCTATCAGGAAAAAATTATGTCACCCTCTCTAACTCCTTGACATCATTGGAACACCGTAGAAAAGTCGGCGACCTTTCACTATTCTATAAATACTTTCATGGGAAATGTTCTTCAGAAATCTTTGCTATCATTCCAACACTAGCAATAACAGTCAGACAAACTCGACAATAAGTCCAGTCTGCAGATCATTTCGTTGACAACCTCGAAATATATGTCGAACAGCACTTCATCAAAACTCGTTTAGAAGGTCAAAGCTCTGGAAATCATTGGCTGAGGAAGTATTTTCAATAACTTATAATCAGACCAGGGTCGATAATTTTTTGAACCGAAAAAAATTATAGGAGAACGGAACTAACTGGAAAAGGAAGAGAATATAACAAAAATGTATGGAACAATAAATTATGGGGGACCTGAGGTCCGGAAGAGGAAGGGTAAGAAACGGATTATCTCCATTTCCAGCTAAACAACAAAACCTATGGAGAAAAGTTGAATGGAAAAGTTGCAGGTAATAAACTGATCAATAACTTTTGTCCTCTCTCTTTTTCCACATAACTCCAAAATTCATGTGAAAAATTGAAATAACCAAGTTTTTGGTCGTTTACTTTCACCTTTTACAATAAAAATCTCGCGAAAGGTGAAAACCTCTACCCCTTTATCTCGCAAACATACTGTAATTGTTTTGATTCGAAATACTAATTTTTTTCACCTTTTCAATCGAAAATTCTCGCGTTGAAATATCTGCTCTTTCAGAAAGGTCGGTGAGCATTTTGTTCGTTGAAATCTCTACCTCCTGATGGTGTGAGATATATATACATTACTAGGGTGAATGTTCTCAGAAAATACAAAATTTGCGTCTCGCAATTTTTCTCAGTTTTTCTCGTAAAATAACTGATTGGCAAATGTTTCCTTCAGCAAGAGAAATTCATCCAATGAAAAAAGCTCTTATGTTTCTCCTGTTGATAAATGATTACACGTTATAAAAAATTTTGAATACCAATTTTTATTATTTCCGGATATATTTAAGAACTTCAAAATTCGTTTTCTAGCGATAGAAGAAACAGTGACTTTCATAGTTCTTGCTTTGTGGTCTTCAGATGGTATTGGTAGGCTGAAGTGAATCCGATTCCTGTAGACCAATCAGAACGATCCGAAAAGTGTCTGCGTGTTGGCAAGAATTTGTTACCTCTTTCGCTTCTCGAAAGAGGCCGAGTTAGGTCACTTCCTCATATTATCTATATACAGCGTATCTCACTCTAAACGGCCTCTCCCGTTACCTCTCCTCTATATCTCAGCGATTAGTCGTGCGATTCGTATCAGTTTTTCAGAGATTAAGATCCTTTTGGACAGTGCCGTGCTTTTTCATTGAAATATAAAGGGGTACATTTTTATAAAATCAAATGAGGATTTTTTTGCAAGTGAACTAACTTTATGTAAATGAACAGGATCGGCTTAATTTTTTGAATTTACATCCTCGAAAAAACAGTGAATTTGAATTAACTGCAAATTTTGGAACGTTGAATGACTCCTATAAGTAAAAAATCATAACTTGAGAGACAAAACATGATATTCTATTTCATGTTGAACTCTCCGTTTCCATGACGTTCACAAAAATTCTGATTAGATGTGCCTGTTTTTTGGAAGCCTTCATAGGAATCATATGAAAATTCACATAATATGGGGGTTTTGAAACCATGATGATTTATATTATGTAGTCAGTTTTCTTGTGAATAAACTAATAATATTATTTCATAATTAATGTACCCTTTTCATTTTGTTAAAAAACGTACGGCACTGTCTAGAATGATGGTCATCTCTGAAAAACTGACCATATTGATAGTTATTCATACCGGTTCAAATTTGGTCACACGACTAACTACTGAGATATAGAGGGGACTGTTCGAAATGAGATCCGCTATATGTATATTAGACCGAGTTAGGTTAGATCACCGAACATAAACTAAAGATAAGAAGGGTCACTCTCCGTTCTGCCGCGAATACCTCCCTCCTTTCCCTCCCTCCGATTCTGGAAGATCGGATACCAACGCATATACCGATTGACCGGCGAGAGCGCGCGAGAGTCGTTGTAGACGTGATATACCGATTGTCTTCTTGTTGAGCTAGTGGGAATCGGTTCACGAATTGATTTCGGAAGTTCGTTTTAACTTTTAGAGTGCAAATTTTTATAATGCCGACGCATTGTTCTAATCATGACAAGCTAAAACAATACAAGGTTTGTCCTAAATTAGCTAATGAACATTTGAATCCCAGTAATTCTCAAAAAATGAAGGTGAAATATGCCTCGCAAGTTTCACCACCAGAAGCAAAAGTTACTGCAAAATTCATAAAAATAATGGATGATTTATTCGATTTATTAAATTCCTGTCATTTGAATAATTTTAACGCATTCATGGGCACAGAGAAACAATTCCAATTTCTAGAAAAAATTGAAACTATGTTAAGCAATTTGAAAGTTATGAAGATTGTTGACAATCAAGAAATTTGTTTGAACAACAAATTGTATTTCATATATGGATGGAAGTTGACAATCAAGTCGTTTTAAGCTTTATGGGAAACCTTGAAATCTAGGGGTTATAATTTTCTATTAACCAGAAACCTCAATCAGGATTGTATCGAGAACTATTTTGGCCAAGTTAGAAACTGTTGCGACTATGCGAGAAATCCAACACCAATACAGTCTTCGAGAGCCTTCAGAAAATTATTTGCCTTAAAATTTTTTAATCAAGTCGACGGTGCAAACTGCATAAACGATATGAATGAAGTTTTGATGAACATTAATCCCGATTTTCTAGAAAACTGCAATAAATTATCCATCCCATTATCACACAATCCCTTGAAGGTATTTACGAGCGATAACAGAAATTTGTCCAGTACTGGTGGTAATGCATTTTGGTGTATGTCACAGGCTATTTATTGAAAAAATGTTTGTTGCAACATTCATGTGATATATGTCTGGAATATAACGAATAAAATTCTTTAAAAAAGGAAGCGACCCGCTTTTTTGAGGCAAGAGCTTATAATACCAAAGGAATTGGTGGCTTGAATGTATGTACCTCATGTAAATATTGTAGAATATGTCACACGATTAGAGAACATCTTCATTCGGAATTTCAATGAAATAGCTAACCTACAAAATATTGGTGCAACCCTCAAAGGTTTGTTTGAAAATATACAATTCACACATCCGTGTGAAAATTTTCCATTCGAGTATTTTGTATCTCTCTACACTAGAGTTCGAATTTATTTTACGATTAAATCTATAAATCGTCAAATTAAAGACATAAAAATTGAAAAGCCAAATATAAATTTATCTATATTGCAGAACCTATGATGATTCATCTCTTTATTCACCAAAACTATCGGTTTCAACCCATAGGATATTTAATGTTCACCTGTTTCCTTTGTTATATTGGTAGATTTTGTAGGTTAATTTATTGAGTCATTGTTCAAAATTTGTTGGGATTTTCTCTCCTCGTTTCTATAAAATGAAAATATGAATATTATTTCAATATAAGTGTAGTAAGGACAAATCAGATGATTTGCCCCAAAATGTCACTGTGTTTAAAGAATTTTCCTATCAGAGAGCCTAAAAGAAAAATTCACTAGCTTGTCAGTGACAATTTGTATTGAAAAGAAAGAGAGATAGAAGAGAAATAAAGGTATATAGAAAAATTATCAAATTTTCACTTATCTTTTATTCTCTCTGATAGGAAAATTCTTTAAACGCAGTGACATTTTGGGGCGAATCATCTGATTTGTTACTACACGTATATTGAAATATTATTCATATTTTTATTTTATAGAAACGAGGAGATAAAATCCCAAAAAATTTGGAATAATGAATGTACTACCTCCTCGATTAACCTATAGACAGTATTTAATTTATTTAGTGTCGAAGACGTTTTTATTTTAACATTGTCTTTCTAGTCCACACGTTTTTTTTCCTTTTGCTCATTCAGTTCCGTGATAATTATTGAGTTGAATAAAGTAATGATTTATCTGATTACCTACTTTTTTGAACAATCCCTATATAAACGCTACCAGCTGAACATGAACGCCGCAAAATAAGCAGTCCTCGTATACACAAAGCGACTCGCCGCTCAACTGAGACACCGAAGAAGGGTGCCGGGCCGCCTTTGTTTTTGCTATTTCAAACAGTTTTAGCTAAGTGAGCCTTCTTATCAAGATAAGGAGATAAAGTCTTCCCTCCTCTGCAGTAAGGATATTTTCCTTCCTTATACTATAGATATTTTAGGTATTCCAATCACCAACTCATGAAACAATAGTATATTGTGTCACAAGGGCAGAAAATGAGCTTTAGC